GAATTCCTGGTGGGCCGGTCCATTTTTTTAGCTGCAAGGGCACTTTTTTCATTTACTTATTTATTTATTTAACGGTAGCCTCACTTTTTTTATTCATTATTTTTCCGCAGCTCCGCACTTTTTATTTATTTTCTCGCAGCATCGTGAACAAAATGCAGCCTGCAGGTTTATGATGCTGTAACTATCATTCGACCACAAACAGTGGCACTGTAGTGAATATAAGAATTAAAGAAATTATATAAATGCATATTACACCTGCTCAATGAAAATCAGATGTTTATCTACATTAATAAATCTTACATAACTTGATCAGAAGTGGGCGAGGCAGTGCCGCAGTAGGTAGTGCTGTCGCCTCACAGCAAGAAGGTCGCTGGGTCGCTGGTTCGAACCTCGGCTCAGTTGGCATTTCTGTGTGGAGTTTGCATGTTCTCCCTGCCCTCATGTGAGTTTCCTCCACAGTCCAAAGACATGCAGTTCAGGTGAATTGGGTAGGCTAAATTGTGTTTGTGTGAATGTGTGTGTGTGTGGATGTTTCCCAGAGATGGGTTGCGGCTGGAAGAGCATCCGCTGTGTAAAAACTTGCTGGATAAGTTGGTGGTTCATTCCGCTGTGGCGACCCCGGATTAATAAAGGGACTAAGCCGACAAGAAAATGAATGAATAAATGAATGAACTTGATCAGAAATCTAAAAAGGGGAAAAAAAAGATTAAGCTATCAATAGAAAGTAATACTGTGGTTTAAAGTGGTTAGCATGTTACGTTACGAACCTGTCTTAAGTAATTTGTTTTTTTTGGGGGTTTTTTTTTCATTTTTTGTATGAAGACATGCAATACTGTTTGGGTTACTTATGTAGGTGTACATATTTTATTTTCATATTTTGTGTGACCACCGTTACAAAGGACTGGATATCTGTAAAATGTTTTGCACTGTATATATATTTAGATATTGCACTGAAGTGGGCCAGTCTAAGGCTTGAAACTGCAGGGCTGAAAAGGAGTCCCACTCCGGCCCTGCCTGTTAGTATGTATTTTGTGGTCTCTAGAAATGTAGATGGTGGTACGTATCCATAATGAGCCTGTGTTGGAACAATTAATCCATGCAAGTTAATCCACTTGTTTTGGTAATCTTCAATTAAAATCTGAACATGTTCTTCTTCGTTTGAAGGTGCGATCCTTCTTTGATGACATCAGTTTAACGGCTTCAGCCACAATATTTTTAACCACGCCCCTTTTACTGTTACTTTGCAATGAGAAAATGATACACAACAAGAAAGCCCCACCCACTACTCAATATTCTGTTTCCGTTGGAAATAAGTCAACATAATGAAATAAAAGTCTCAGCAACTTCCACTTGAACCGGACCTTTAGATGTTTTTGGTTTGTTTCAGATGTGCCTCCGTCCACATATTGGGTCGGCAGGGGAAATGAGAAGCACTTCTACTGGGGCGGCTCAGGACCGGGCGTGCAGAAATGTGCCTGTGGTATTGAACGCAACTGCACCGATCCCAGATATTACTGCAACTGTGATGCCGATCTCAGACAATGGTGAGAGTTTGGTCAGAATAACAAATCCTTTTTATTTTTGTATACATGGTTACAAAACATGCTCTAAATTATACCATTTTTATTTACAATTTTGAAGAAATGTGATCCTTTCTTTAAAGATTAAAACAAAAACAATATTTTAGTCAAATTAATAGCTATAAATTAGGAATCTAGAAAAATTTTAAATAGTCTCTTCAATTTTTTAGAGTTGCATACTGTGTTAGGGGAAAAAAGTAATATTGGATAGCTAATAAGCATATTTTTGCATGTATAAAGATACTGCATTCCCAATTCCTCATTTCATAAACAAACTTTAATTTTAAATCTTCTCAAATTTCTGAAAGTCACACAGTTTTATGTTGCACAGACATCTTTTTGCACCAGCCAAAAATACATTAAACGAGTCAAAATTATTTATTTATCTTTTGTACCAAAATCATTAGAATGTCACATAATGTTCCATAAAGATATTTTTATAAATTTTCTACTGTAAATATCAATGCTCAATTTTTGTTTAGGAATATACATCGCTGAGAACTCAATTTGGGCAAGTTTTTTTTTTTTTTTTTTTTTTTTTTTTTAGATTTTTCAAGATTTCAGATTTTTTAATAGTTGTATCTTGAATAAATATTTCAGAAAATAATCTCGAATGTAAAAATTGACTCTTCTGATTGATTTACAACTACTAAAACTAGTACATTTTAACTTATGCTATACACACTATGCAGTACACTAATATTTCAGATTTAACATACACTGTCAGTGGGGTAACACTTTATAATAACTACACGCTATCTAATCATTTATTAAGCATTAGCAAATAGTTAATTCATCATTTGTTTAGCATTAACTCTACATTAATAGTAAGTAAGTAAGTAAAGTTTATTTATAAAGCACATTTACTTCAGTTTGGCACTGACCAAAGTGCTGAACAAAACCATAGCACACACTCTAAAAGAGTAAAAATAACAATAAAAGTAATAATAGGAATAAAAGTATTACAGCAACAACCATAATAAAGATTAAAAGCCTGGGAATGCAATATAATAAAAATGTGTCTTAAGTCTAGACTTAAAAATAGAGAGAGAAGAAACACTCGTAATATCCGGTGGCAGCTGGTTCCACAAACGAGGAGCAGCGACTGCAAAGGCTCTATGTCCTTTCAATTTAAGTCGTGATCGAGGAATTTGCAGTAAAATTTTATTTGAGGACCTAAGAGACCGAGGAGTTGACTGTAAGTTAATAAGTTCTGATATATAAGAAGGTGCTTGTCCATTTAGTGCTTTAAAAACTATAAGTAAAATCTTGAACTGAATTCTAAAATTAAAAGGAAGCCAATAAAGGGATGCTAAAATTGGTGAGATATGAACATGTTTTTTGGTGCCTGTTAAAAGTCTAGCTGCCGCATTTTGAACCAACTGCAACCGTGGCAATGCCCGGACATTACTAATAGACATTAGTCAGCAGTTTGGAAATACAGCTACAAATACTGTTCTTAACATATATGCACAATAAATATGCTTACTTTGTTAATGATTATTTTTCACTGCAAAATTAAGTATTGCAGTATTTACAAACCATTTGTATTTTGAAAATGGTACAAAAGCTAACTACACCAAAAAAGTGTATCTTTGTCATTTATCAATACACAGTCCTTATTTGAAACTCAAAGAAACATATTAGTAACTCAATTGTACATATTAGTATCCAATTATTATATATTAGTACCTTTTTAAAATATACATCCCTTCTTTATTTCTGAGAGTATAAATTCTTTCTTCTGCTGCATTGTGCAATGTTATGTTGCCCCCTTGTGGTCTATCATTCATCCTCTGCGTGGTGTATATTTCTCCAGGAAAGAAGATGCTGGTATGTTGATGTATAAGGATCATTTACCTGTGAGTCAGGTTGTGGTTGGGGATATTTATCGCTCTGGATCTGAAGCCAAACTCACCGTCGGACCGCTGCGCTGCCAAGGAGATCGTAAGTGCTTTTTAAAACGGTATCAACTATAATGTACTTTAGCCAAGCAGGATATCCGTGTTTGACATACTTTTTCCGTCTGATTAAATAAACAACTAGAAATGATATAGGTTAAAGCAATGGTGGTTCCAATATATCAGAAACACTGTTTTAAGCTAAAAGTGGTTTCAAGTCAGTTATTTCTATCTTTTACTGTAGTGTGTCAGTCAGAAACATCATTTTATTTCCTAGGCACGTTAAGAGTCTTTAAGAGACCTACCTGAAAAGCTTTTGGGAAAAGAGGTTTTAAATACAAAGGGTGGTTACACTAAATGTTGATTAAATTTTTTTTGTTGCAAGTTAATTTATAAATAACATATTTATGGCATTATTTTTGAAGACATTCTCATTTTACAGCATTTTTACCTCAAAAATGTGCCTAAAAATACATACCTGCCAACAGGTATTTAGGATTTGGTGATTTGGGGACCCTAAGCAATTCCACCCATGGGGCCCAACAATCCTAAAATACACCTTTTTAATCATAAAAAACCTTCTAATACCACTCAGTCTATTTTCTATGCCTTATCCTTATGGAATATCTACATTTTAAATGATTTGTTATCTTAAAATGAATTCAAAACTAAAAATGGCCTAATATATAAACCGAAAATAATGAATGTTTTTTCAAACTAAACCTTTACTTGATTTGACTGCTGGACTGCTTCATGATTGGGGGTGTTAGACAAATTTGCATATGTAATAATTAAAAAAAAATTTGTAATAATTGAAATTCTTACAGTTTTGCTTGTTAGACCCTTTCCCTACAAAAATATGACAGAAAATTGTAAAAAAAAAAAAAAAAAAGATGATAACAATGGTGTTGTTAATCTGTCTATTAACAACACCAATTGGAGGACAGTACAGACACCAAAACAAATACAGACATTCTGACCAGGAACGCACATTTGCAAAGGACAATAACTGACTTTAGCACTGATTTGTAGATATATATGTTCACTTAACATGTTTCTTAAACATCTGCAAACATATTTTGGTATTTTTAAGCTTTAGAAGAGTCAAAATTTTACAGACAGCACCTTTAAAACCATCTTTAGCTAGTAATTTTTGCGACCACTGTAACTCCAATGTTTCTTTAAAGTAGACCTATTATAAAAACTATATAATTAATTATAATAGCAAAAATAACTTTTGTAATGGGTTTAAACACAGTTGTGTGGCAACAGTCTATGAATATAACAAGATTCTAATGGTAAAAATATATTTATTTTATTTTTTATAATCACACATTATAACACCAGTCTGCAGAAACACTTTGATTGACATTCTTTTGTACGTGTCAGTGACGATCTCTTCCTTTTAAGCATATGATGTTAGTCTTGTTTTTGAATCTGCCACTATGCTGACACACAGGCATTTGTAGCTCCGCACTCTTTTGAAAGGAGCACAATCTCATTTGAATTTAAAGCGGCAGTAACCAAATTGGCACATTTAGGATCAAAGCCTAAAAGGGTCAGTTTTAAAGAGTTATAAAACATTATTTGTTTGGTTTTCAAAGTTGAAACTTCACATACACACTCTAGGCAAATCAAAACTTATTTTAGATCTTGTACAAAAAGAGCATAATAGGACCCCTTTAAATGCTGTAGAAATGACACACTGCTGCTTTAAATGTTACCAAAACAAACCTCTTCTGATTTGCCTGTGTGTTTCATTTATAGGTCACTACTGGAACGCTGCTTCTTTCAACACACCTGCATCTTATCTTCATTTTCCAACCTTACAAGCTGAGACCAGTGCTGATGTGTCCTTTTATTTTAAGACATCGGCTTCACACGGAGTCTTTCTGGAGAACCTGGGCAACCCCGACTTCATTCGCCTAGAACTCAGTTGTAAGCTTATTTTTATCACTTCCCCTCGAGAGGATTTACCTTTTAAGCACTGTGAGGAACTGCGCTTTAAAGTCCCTATGAAATCAAAATAAAGTTTTTTAGATGTTAGCATCAGTATGTTTGTCTGAAGGATGTCTAGTGTGTTACGAAACAGTGACAAAATTCGCATTAGGAAGATATGAACATCTAAAGTTTGCAGTTTGTCACTTCCACCTAAATGGATCAATTATTTTTTTTAAAGTCACCTCATACTTTAGTTTTTCATCAAATCTTCTGACAAATCAAATGCTCTCTAGTATCTGACATGCCCCGCCCCCTTCAAGATAAGTCTCATTTGCTTTTCATTTGATGCACTTAAACTCAGCCACTCTCACTGGCAAGGCTGTTATGAAAACAAAACTCCATTGGTTGTTTTTTTAAAGGGGGAGGGGCCACTCTATGCTCCGCCCATTTCATGTTTCAGTTGAAATTACACCTCACATCAAAGAAATACGCCCACTTCAAAGCATTTTACTTTAAGCATTGAGATTTTCTTCGTTAATTTATCAGTGAGTTTAAAAACCAGTGGCAGTGTTATTTTATTATTGGTTATGCACTATTATAATGTGTAAGCTAAAATAATTAGCTTATTTTATTTTACATTTTTAATGTTAACTTGTCATTTTTATTCGTTTTGTATTATATTTTTTATTGTATAAACTGTTATGTTTCGTATTTATAGCTCAGTTCGTAATTAGCTGAACAGATGTGTTTTCAGTCTTGATTTGTATAATGTTGGAGCACATCTGATCATTTCTGGAAGCTGATTCCAGCAGTAGGTGGTGCAGTAGCTGAAAGCCGATTCACCCTGCTCTGACCGAACTCTTGGAATTTCTAGTTTATATGATCCTCAAGATTTGAGTGATCTGTTGGGTTTGCACTCAGTGAGCATATCTGTAATGAATTGAGGTCCTACGCCATTTAGTGATTTATAGACAATACTTTAAAATCTATTCTGAATGTAACTGGGAGCCAGTGTAAAAACCTGAGCTTAGGTATGATGTGCTCTGATTTTCTGGTTTTGGTCAGAATTCTGGCAGCAGCATTCTGGATAGTTAAATGGCAAATAAGTTATAATAGTTAAATGGAAAAAATTCTCTCAATCATATTCACAAAAATAAATAGATTGTGATGCATTAAAAGGATCACAGGCCTTCAAAACACTCATTAATTTTCATTTTGAATCCACCATCCTTTAAACCACTAGCTTTTAACTATTTGTTTATTATCAAGTGATCATTTAAAATGTGATCCTTTTATATATTTTATTCTCCATTCATAATTCATTTTTGCATAACCATATGCGTTACTTTTAATGACAAATGAATATTATTTCAGGGTTTTTTTTATTTATTTATTTTTTACATTTTTCAAGTCATTTGAAACATTAAAGTAGACATTTTACTTGCATTTAATATGCTTTCTCTGTATATAAAATGTCTTATTTTTTATGTATTGAAGATGGACATTATATTCCGTATAACTGCAGGTTAACTATGTTAGTATATAATAACTTTAACTGTCAAAAGCTATTAGTTACTAGTTTATTAGTTAGAGTTATGGTAACTAATAACCTTAACTTTTCCTAATTTGTTAGTAATACATTAATGTGCACCTTTTGTAAAGCTGCATTGAAACAATAATTAAAGTGAAAGATCTATACAAAAAAAATAGAATTGAATTGATTTGATGCAGACACAATCATTTTAATCAGTTTAATTAACAGTACCATCTCTGTTTCTCTCAGCGGCATCAGTGGTGTCGTTTTCATTTGATGTGGGCAACGGGCTGGTGGAGTTAAGCGTTCGCTCATCTACACCCCTCAATGACGACCAGTGGCACAGGGTGGAGGCGGAGCGCAATATCAAGGAGGCTGTTTTGCGAGTGGATAAGCTGTACAGGGAGGCGCGGTCAGCACCGCCTCAGGGCCACACCCGCCTGCAGCTCTTCAGCCAGCTGTTTGTAGGTAAGAAGTCGGGAATTTAGTTCAGCAGTTAAAATTTCATTAATCAGTGAATTATATTTCTGAATATCTAGTGATTTTCTGATGTCATGAAGTGTTTTTTGTGCTTTTTTTCAATGTGATGTAAAGAAAACATCCAAAAAAACGCACTTTATCAATTTGTATCTGTAGATTTTAATAACAATACAGATTTTTTTACGTACAGTATACTGTACAGTGCAAAAGTGCTAAGCACTATACCAGTTTTGTTAGCCTAAGACTCTTGCACATTATATAATAAATCTCTTTATTAAAAACAAACAGAAAATATAGGAAATATGTACTAAAAAAAAACATCAACCGCACATCATTTCCTCTTCAAGCAAAAGTGTATGATTAATGTGGCTTCCCTTTGCACCCAACACAGCTTGAACTGTTTTGTTCTAATTGTCCCGCCATTTTCTGAAATAATGTGCTGTGTGATTATATCAGGCTTCTTTTAGCACTTTCCAGAGTTCTTCTTTAGATTTAGAGTGTCTTATCTTTCTTTTTGTGTCCATGTGATCTCATACAGCCTCTGTGGCCACGTTTACACTGTCAGGTTTTGATGCCTAATTCTGATTTGTTGCCTATATCTGATTTTCCGTTTACACATTCTTTTAATTGTGACCCATATTCATTTCATGTGTTTACACTTGCTATACAGTTTACAACATCGCGCATGTGTAAAGGCGGGTTCTAGCATCTGCGCCTCACTAGCCACCATAAAAGAAATTGTCTTGTTTTTAGTTCTGCGGAATATGCCAAGTTCACCTAACTGTAAACTGATTTGGAGGCCGAGGAGGAAGGAAAGGGTCATCATTGGCAAAGAAGTACCACATTGTCACAAGTTTAATGGCGTACAAAATGTAATGCCTGCCTGTCTACTTTAATGACAGTAGCATTGTCACATATCGGATTTATAGCTGATTAATTTCAACATATGAAGGAGGTCTAAAACTGATCTCTGAATATCAGAATTCATGCTTTTTGTGTGTGTTTGTTTGTTTACACGGTCATAGAACAGATCTGATCTGTGTCACATATGAGCAAAAAAATCTGAATTGGGTCACATTTAACTGGCAGTGTAAACGGGGCCAAAAATATTAGGGTCTGTGTTTCACCAGCTGTTTTCTTTCTCCAAACAGGATTTTACTGCAATTAGCGGATCATTATCATGCCGAAAAGGAAAACTATTATTACTGAAGTCATTACCAAAAGGAATGGCATTATGGACTAAAACCTAACTGTACTTTTCCCAATTCCAACAACTCAGACAATATTGCTAACAACACTGGTAGAAATGCAGCTCAAACCAGGACAGACTCTCTCACTCTACATTGCCCTTTACATGTCTTTTAAACAATTAAACCAAAATAATTCAAACTCTAACCTAATCTAACTCCTATCCATCAACTGAAAGATCATTTATTCACCCTGTATATATCTAATTTTTGCTTAAATTACAAAAACATTTACACTTATGACTGGTTTTGTGGTAAAGGGTCACATATATCCATTATACCATCAGTGAAACAACAGATTTAGTTTTAGCTTAAAACTTTTGCACAGTACTGCATTACATATACATATTAGGGCTATTAGCAGTAAGTAAAAATACAACTAAAACTATAAACAACATTTTATTATTGCTACTAATGAAATAAAAAAAACTATATAAAACTATTTTTTAAAAAGTGCTTCCCCTTTAATGATTTTTTTATTGTTTTGCACGTTTGTCACACTTTAATGTTTCAGATCATCAAACTAATTTAAATATTAGTCATAGATAAAACAATCATGTAGCTCTGAATATAAGGTTTTTATTATTAAGAGAAAACAAAATACAAAACTACATAGCCCTGTGTGAAAAAGTGTTTGCCCCCTAAAGCTCATAACTGCAATAATGCGTTTTCAATGAGTCCATTACAGCCCTGTGGAAGAATTTTGGCTCACTCATCTTTGCAGAATTGTTGTAATTCAGCCACATTGGATGGTTGTCAAGCATGAACTGCCTTTTTTAAGGTCATGCCACTTCATCTCAATTGGATTGAGATCCGAACTTTGACTAGGCCACGCAAAATCCTTATTTTGTTTTTCTTCAGCCATTCAGAAATGGACTTGATGGTGTGCTTTGGGTCATTGTCTTACTGCAGCATACATAAATATAAATATAAATGTGAATATTAGAAATTATTATGTTTTTATTTGGGTTTCATTTTATCTAATAGTAATAAAAAATGCTTTATAGTTTTCTATTTTGAAATTGCCCTGAAAATGACCTTGGGTCCGTTCTTCGTACCTCACTTAAATGATCTAAGATGATTTGACAGATCATGGATCTTTTAATCTTGATAACTGATCTCTGGCTAATTTGGTTCTTCAAACTAGTTCGCGAATCAGATTAGAATGTCTGGATAAACTGATCTGAGATCGCTGCGTGTGTTGTGAAAGACAGATCTATCATTCCTCGAAATCATGATCAGCAATGCAACGATTGGCTGACGGCACAGCAGCGTAATGACATCATCTGATTAATATTCAATTATCCATGTGAGCAAAATTACATCAAATTAGCTGTAAACGGCTTGTTAAATATGACACGCAATAACTTTCCACATTTGTTGTGAGCTGCAGGCTTTACACTTTCATGTGTCAAGAGTATTCATCATGTATTTAAATGCATATTAATGTATTTAGTTCAACATTTAGAAAAGATTTTCTTTATTATAGTAGCCGTTTTTTATCGGTGTAAAGAATAACTGGTTGTTTACAAAAGCATTTTGATATGGTAAAGGCGTCTGCAACTTTTGTGAAGCATCAAATCACTGGCATATTAACTGTCAAAACATGTTCATGACTGCATAAATGTATTATTGCTTTAAAAAAAAAGTCACATATTGTGCATTTCTATTATCATACACAATTTGTACTAAAGCAATCTAAAAAATTCATATCAATAAGTTTTCTCTTTGCACCACCAGATGGCAGCCTTTGTACTTTCATTTCGAACTTCGAGGGAAGTTTTATTAATATGTATAACTTTGTTTATTTTATTAATGACTATAACTTTATATATATAATTAAAAAATATGTACCATTTTCCCAAGTGTATATAACCACTACTGTAAGAAAATATCAGAAATCAGAACATACTTTTTTCTGTATTATCTTTGCTTGAACTAAGCCGATCTAATCCTGTTTATATGAATTGAACCTGCTCCCGATCAGGTTTGACCTAGCAGAACTGTTGCTATGACAACAACTCTCGGATCAGCTTTGAAGAACGAAACGATCCTGGATCGTGTCAAATCGTCAATATCCAAATCCAGCTAACTGAGTAATCCACGTACGAAGAACGGACCCCTGATCTTATTCCAACAATATGTTTTGTAATTAAAATCTGCAGATACAAATTGATAAAGTGTGGATAAATAAAAACGTAAACATGTATTTTGGATAGTTTATTTACATTATACTGAAAAAAGCACCAAAAAAGCACCGCAGCATGAAAATAATGTGCAATTGCCTAAAACGTCTCGCCTTAATTTAACATTAACAAAAAATCATGTAACACATGCTTAATTATCAGTTCATGTTCACTAATAAGGCCTTAATGTAAACGTTTATTGTTTCAGACTTAAATCTCTTTATATCCGTGTTGATCTTTAGGTGCTTCGGGTGGTCAGAGAGGATTTCTGGGCTGCATTCGATCACTAAAGGTCAATGGAGTGACCCTTGATCTCGAGGGAAGGGCAAGGGTCACGCCGGGGGTGAAGCCTGGATGTTCGGGCCACTGTAGTAGTTATGGGATGCACTGCCAGAATGGAGGAAAATGCATCGAAAAGTACAATGGATACTCATGCGACTGCAGTCAGACCGCCTTTGATGGGCCGTTCTGCAATGATGGTATGGATAAAATTATTATGAAAAAATAAATGTTTATTGCTTAGTGTGTCTGTAAAGGAGCTTTTACATTGGTTATTATGGTAATAAATATAAATATAGCACTTATGATGCAACAAATAGACAGGAAGTAAGAAAAATATGACTATTAATTCTGATAAATATATTTAATTTAATAATAAAAAAAAATGTATTTGTAGTCTGTAATGTTGATTATTATCACTTAAATTCATCCTTACTGAATAAAAAAGGAAAAATGCCTAAAAATTCACATTTGAACCCTATTAATAATGCTATATATGTGCTATAAAGTTAAAATAAAGGCGTTAGATGATCTGAATCTGTGTTGTAACACATTTAAATCTTCCCTGCTTGTGTTCTCTGTGGCAGAACAGAAGTAAGCATTTGTCTCTGTTACAGATGTTGGAGGGTATTTCGAGAGTGGGACGCTGGTGCGTTTTGACCTGATGTCCGAGAGCAGCACTTCCTCTCCTGCACTAAAGGAAGGCGAGTCTGCGGTGCTGGGCATTGTGGGTAATCTGACGCACGAGGAGCTCAGCTTTAGCTTCAGCACATCCAACACGCCGGCTGTCCTCATCTACATCAGCTCAAAGACACAGGACTACCTGGCCGTAGTGCTGAGACACAATGGTGAGACAACTCTGATTTAAAGCTTTGGGGATATGAGGGACACATTTATTTTTCTTAATAATAGCCTTAGATGATGTTGTTTTTATTGACGTTGAAATGCTTTTATAAGTGGAAATTTAGTTATGTCTTGATGTGTGTGTGTTTTTGCAGTATGTTCATGTGTTCATTAGTTTAATGTTCATTAGTTTAATTTAAAAAATTTATTTGTTTAGTTATATTGGTAACACTAATGTTCTAAATAACTAAATAACTCCTCTCTAATAACTGATTTATTTTATCTTTTATCTTTATGACAGTAAATAATATTTGACTAGATATTTTTAAAGACACTTTTGTACAGCTTACAGTGACATTTAAAGGTTTAACTAGGTTAACTAGGCAAGCTAGGGTAATTGGGCAAGTTATTGTATAATGATGGTTTGTTTTGTAGACAATCGAAAAAAAAATTAACTTAAAGTTGCTGATAATTTTGTCCCAAAAATGGTGTTTTAAAAAATAAAAACTGCTTTTATTCTAGCCGAAATAAAACAAATAAGATTTTTTCCAGAAGAAAAAATATTACCAGACATACTATGAAAATTTCCTTGCTCTGTTAAACATCATTTGGGAAATATTTAAAAAAGAAAAAAAAATTAAAAAGGGGGCTAATTATTATGACTATATATATATATATATATTTTTTTTTTTTTTATTATTATTATTTTTTTTTTTTTTTTTTTTGGCAGGGACAGTGTACATTAATTAGCATTTCTGCTATTTTTCATCTGTTGTCCCTTAACAACCTAGAAAAAACAATACAAAAATTATACAATCTATCAAACATTTAAAAAGTACTAAAATACACATGGTCATATAGATGTTAAAAGAGAATATTTACAAATTAAGCTAAAACACCAACATTTTATAATAGAGATAAAAATAGTTGAAACACATTTAAACAACAGATCACATGACTGTCACAACAGATCAGGTCAAACATGACTATATATATGACTATAAATATATATATATATATATATATATATATATATATATATATATATATATATATATATATATATATATATATTGACATATAAATATATATTTTTTAATTATTTAATATCTATTTTTATATATTTACTATTTATTATATTTATTTTATTATTTATCATTTTTAATATTTATTTATTTTATTTTTTTATTTTGTATATAACCTAAAAAATAAATAGAAACTGTACATAGACATATAAAACAATAATATATAAATGTTATATTTACTACATATAAATATCCATTTGTTAACATTATTTTGTCAGGGTTCTGCCACTCTGGTCTTGTAAATTCTTGTTTTGGTGGCAGAGCTCGGACACTACCCATGTCTGGTCCTGTTTCTGTCTCTGTGTGCGCGCGCGCCGTCGTGGGTGTACGCAGAGTGTGCGCGCTCCTGCTTGACGTGGCCTCTTTTGCCGAAGCACGTGGCTCGGTGTTTACATTGTGGTCACGTGCTTTTGTCGTGTGCTTCAGTGTTGTGTTATGTGAGCGCATGGCTTGTATTGTCTCTCTGTGTCATGCGCTCTCCCGTCTATTGTCTTGTCCCACCCACCTTGTTATCTTGTTTGTAATTATTGTTTTCACCTGTCCGCCTGTCTGTTTATTGGTTTGCCTTTCCTATTTATTCTCCTAGTGTGCTCTGTTCTGTGCTGGTCTGTTGTTGATTGTTTCCTTCCCTGTTGTACGTGATTTGCTGATTCTGTTCTACAACAGTGGTTAAGTTGTGTGTCTGCCAAGTTCCAGATTCTTGAAGTCTAGTTGAGTGTCGTGTTTTTCCCCACATGGGGAGATTTGAGTTTTGTTTTTGTTTTATTTTTTCAATAAATTCTTCATTCCCCGCATTTGGGTCCTCGCCTCCTCTTCATCACCCCCACACCCTGACATATTTAACCACATTTTGTATTAACCATATTTAACCACATTTTGTTTCCATTGTAGGTAAAGATTTTTACAAACTGAATTAGATATTTTATTCACTTTTATTTCATCTGGCAGTAATGAAAATGTTGTTTTACCGTTTCAGCTCTATTTTGATTGTAGTTACAGATAATAGCCAGCCCTGCTTATAAACCCTCAACACTGTGTTTTTCCTTTAGGTACTCTGCAGATCCGCTATAATCTGGGTGGATTAAAAGAGCCGTTCAGCATCAGCCTGAACCATCGTAACATGGCGAACGGTCAGCCTCATAATGTCAACATTAGCCGACAAGAAAGACTCATTCAGCTGCAGGTACAGAATATCTGTCTCTGTCTACTGTATATCTGTCTGGATGAGGACGTCAGATGCTCACAAACACAACTTTATGGTGACTTTATTCTTGGATTATTGTTGCAGGTGGATCATTACCCTACAGTGAGCTACACTCTTCCTGAAGCATCAGACACTGAATTCAACCTGGTCAAGACCATTTTCCTTGGAAAGGTGTTTGGTAAGCATTTTGGACCAAATTACACACAGTAAAAATATCTATCTAGCAGGTTTTCATATTTTGTTATTCATGTTTTTATTTATTTATTTATTTATTTTTTAATTAATGATTTTGAATTTTTCCAACAACTATAACCTTGAAAAGTAAAAAAAAGTGAATTTTATTGACATTTTTGATAGTTTAAAGTGATATATTGTCTGGGATGGTAATGTATCTTACACTACAAACACCTTGTAACTAACTGCCATTACATTTTCTGTTATTTTACAGACTCATTTCTCTATATATTATTTATATTATTTCAAACTACTAAAATGTCAATAAAAGTGACTTTGTTTAACTGTAAAGTTGAATTTTCAACATCAAAAATTGACAGAGCAGAGATCAACATTCCATAATGCAACTCAATACACTGTAAAAAAAACAGTTCGTTAAAAAAAAAGGTCAAATGACTGGCAGCTGCTGCTGCCAAACAAAAATTATAAAATTACGGTAAAATTCATTTGTTGAAATAAAGTGCAAAAAAAATAAATCTACAGATATTTTCATTAAAATGTTTACAGAAAAACACTGTCTTTTTACAGACTTTTCCTAGATTATTACGATCAAATCCATACAATAAGTTACACAATAAGAGTTTAACAGAGAAACACTGTTATTTTACAGACTTATCCTTGTTTATTATGATCGAACACCATCAATAAAGTGACTGCTCTAAAAGTTCAAGAGAAAACAAATGTTATTTAAAAGAATTTTCCCTAAATCATTACAAGTAAACACATTTAATATAATGCCGAGACATACTCATGGTCGTAATTTAACAGTTTTATTTTGTATCAAAAAAGTGTGGAAAAAACAACAAACGAGATAAAACTAATTAAAATTCTCACAACTATAGCATTAGTTACATTTTATTGAATAGTATTCCTGTAAAACATGTAGAGGTTTAAGTTATATGAAATGATTCAGTTCCAAATCCTAAATAAAATGGAACTGTAACATGGAGGGGACGCAGACAAAGAAGTGCAGATCCAAATGCAGGTTTATTACACAGAGATGGTCAGGTAAGCAACAGTCAACACAGGGGCAATCTGCAAACAGATGTATGCAGGGAATTCAGAGTCATGTTCAAATAAAAAGCAAATGATTAGTGCCGGCAGCAAACAGTGTAAACAATTAACAAACAAAGCAAGGCAAAACAAGAGAAACGCGTCATAATGTTCACAGTAACAGTATAACAAGACTAAGCAATTGGTGCGTGCGTCTGTGCTGCTTTTAAAGTCCATGTAATCAGTTCATAACGATCCTCCGAGTGTGTGTGTGTGTGTGTGTGTGTGTGTGTGTGTGTGTGTGTGTGTGTGTGTGTGTGTGTGTGTGTGTGTGTGTGTGTGTGTGTGTGTGTGTGTGTGTGTGTGTGTGTGGGTGTGTGTGTGTGTGTGTGTGGGTGTGTGTGTGGGTGTGTGTGCGCAATCAGCGGAATCCGGAACAGGTGCATGTAAGCGATCTTAGTGTGTCACTTTATTGTATTGATTTGATCGTAATAATCTGGGAAAAGTCTGTAAAATGACGTTGTTTTTGTTTGGCAGTCTTTTGACCTTTTTTACGATCTTTTTTTTTACAGAGCACGTAATTACAATTTATTACTTTAATTTTATGTAATTTTGAATGTACTAAAAAAAGGAAAAACATTGTGTAAATAATACAGCAATTTTATTGTATAAAACAGACAAATTGCTGTAATATGTCATTACTTATATAGTACATAAATAACAGTCAAGCTGTTAATTTACAGATATTGTTTGTAATTTTTATGAACTTTTGAATATGATTTAAAATAGCAGAAAAAATACTGTAAAAATAATACTGTAATTTCCCTGTATAAAAAACACAAATGTCAGTAATTAGTCTTTAATAATAAGGTATCTAAAATATAAGTCAAATTGTTAATTTAGAGAGTATTTGTCATTTTACTACGTTTTGAATATAATGTGAAATGACAAAAAATTACTGTAAAAAATTTAGAGATTTTTTCTGTAAAAGTAGGTTTATTTTTTTACATTGTAGCATAAATAAACAGAAAACACACAAAATATGGAAACTGTAATTAACAGATGTTATTTACAGTGTAATTGAAATGGCCACTTGATGTTGTCAGGGTTGGTGAGGGGAAATGGGGAAAAAGGAGCGAGGACTCAAGTGCAGGAATAATGGGAATTTATTAAATAATAAAAATAAAATAAAATGCAAAATAAACTACCCCGAGGGGGAAAACATTAACAAAACAAATGCATACACATACAAACAGGACTGGGCAGGCTGGCAAGGATGAGGACTGGACACACGACAGGACAAGACTTCAAACAACAACATGTGATGACGAACTGGCACAGGACAGCAAAAGTGAGGGGTATATAAACTGTAGAAAATTAACACACAAACAGGTGAACACAATTAACTAATAATGGGTTAACAAGGAGGGTGGGACAAGACAATAGAGCGCATGACACAGAGAGACAACACAAGCCATGCGCTCACTTAACAGGACAAGAACATGCAGCCAATAGCCCCTTTCACACATACAGACCTTTCCGGAAAATTACCGGCAATTTTCCGGAAAGGTTGTATGTGTGAACAGGTCCTTTTTGAAAATACCGGTAAATTCGTTCTGGCTATTTTCCGGAAAGAGAAGTTGTAACATTACCGGCAATTTGCCGGAATGCTGCGCTGTGTGAACGCAGAAGGAAGATTTCCGGAATAAGCTCGTGCACGTCTAGAACGTGCTGACGTAAGACTTCTGCTTTAGCCAATCACAACAGTCAGACGCATTTACGTCCGCGCGGTTTGTGAGAATAAAAGCCTTTGAATATTTTTCCTGACACATTTAGCTGCTAGAAGTTAGTCAGATCACGTTTATATGTTCTTCTTAATGCCAACTGTGCAAATAATCATCGATAAGATGCTTATGATAAGCCGTTGTTTGTTTACCTTCAAGCTTTGCGTGTGCCCATGAAACAGCCTGTGAGCGTCAGCACACGCACATATTATGAACATCTCGACATGCGAATATGATCCAGTGAAAGTTGTTTACAATATTGATCATCAAAAGAGTTTGTAATTTAGTCAAATGTTTACAAATACAAGCGCAGCCGTTTAAAGCTCATTTGTGGTGAATGATGTCAGAATTTACCGGTATTTTGGAATGGATGTGTGAATGCTCTTTTCCGGAAAATTTCCGTAACGTCCTCGCCTGTGTGAACAGCGCTTTTTTCAATATACCGGTAAAGTCGTTCCGGAAATTTTCCGGATATTTACCGGTATCACTGTGTGAAAGGGGCTATGGAGTAGTGTCAGAGCTCTGCCACCAAAACAAGAATTTACAAGACCAAAGTGGCAGAACCCTGACAGATGTTGAATTGAAATGAAAAACAAAACTCAACTTAAATTTGATTAAGAGCTTTCTTTTAAATCTCTCATCAAGCCTGCCTTCATTTGAATAAAAAAATACAATAAAAACAGTAAGATCATGAATTGATTTTGTTATTATATTATTCCTTTTGATGAATATTCCTGTGACTTTTTAAAATTTGATTGGATGAGCGTCTAAAACCTGAAAAACATCTTCACACTTATTGATGATGTAAGATTTTGTTTAGTTTTTTCTAAAGTAGCATTTATTCATTCATTCATTCATTCATTCATTTTCTTGTCGGCTTAGTCCCTTTATTAATCCGGGATCGCCACAGCGGAATAAACTGCCAACTTATCCAGCAGGTTTTTACGCAGCTGATGCCCTTCCATCTCTAGGAAACATCCACACACACACTCATACACTATGGACAATTTAGCCTACCCAATTCACCTGTACCGCATGTCTTTGGACTGTGGGGGAAACCGTAGCACCTGGTGGAAACCCACGCAAACGCAGGCAGAACATGCAAACTCCTCACAGAAAAGCCATCTGAGCCGAAGTTCGAACCAGCGACCTTCTTGCTGTGAGGCGAAGGCACTACCTACTGCGCCACTACGTCGCCCTAAAGTAGCATTTAATTGATCAAAAATACTACATAAACCGTATTGTAAAATTTTATTAAAATTCTAGATGACAAAAGCGTCAAGATGACAAGTATTTTTATGTCTCTTTATCTTATTTTAAGATCCTTGCTCTGTTAAACATTATTTAGGAAATATTTAAAGAAAAAAAATCACATTCATTCATTCATTTTCTTTTCGGCTTAGTCCCTTTATTAATCTGGGGTCGCCACAGTAAAAATTGATATTAATATTTAAACTGATATATCATTTGTATCATAATTTGTATCCAAATATGAATAAACATTTTCAAAATATATGTATACATGTGTGTATTTACACTGTCCAACTACTCGTTAACACAAATTTCTAATCAGCCAATCACATGACAGCAGCTTAATTAATTTATGCATGGTCAAGACGATCTGCTGCAGTTCAAACAGAGCATCAGAAAGGGGATTTAAGTGACTTTAAAAATTGGTAAATGTTGCCTGGTCTGATGAGTCTCGATTTCTGCTGCGACATTTGGATGGTAGGCTCAGAATTTGCCATCAACAACATGAAAGCATGGATCCATCTTGCCTTGTATCAACGGTTCATGCTGGTGGTGGTGGTGTAATGGTGTGGGGGATATTTCCTTGGCACACTTGGGAGCCATTAGTACCAATTGAGCAAAGTTTTATTTTGCACGCGATTAATCACGATTCATTTTTGCCCAGCACTACATTTTACATTTTGCAATGAGCTTAACAGTAATAAGGTAAATTGTCAGATTTTGAATATTTTAATTAACACTGTTGATCCCTCTAGCTGATATTTGCTGCTGTTGTGTGTGTCTTTCAGAAACGGGTCAGATTGATCCGGTGTTGATAGAGCGATACAACACTCCAGGATTCGTGGGTTGTTTGTCCAGAGTTCAGTTCAACCGGATCTCTCCTCTGAAGGCGGCGCTCAGGACCGGCCCGTCCACTGCCTCCATACAGGGAGTCCTGGTGGAGTCAAACTGCGGCGCGTCTCCGCTCACCGTCCCACCCATGTCTGCTGTTTTTGACCCCTGGCACCCAGAGTCAGGTGACTGAATCGAAATGCACTCTTTCTAATCTTATTGTGTCCTGTAGCTGAAGTCAGAATTATTAGCCCCCTGAATTATTACCTCCCCTGTATATTTTTCACACAATTTTTGTTTAGCATAGATTTTTTCAACACATTTCTAAACATAATAGTTTTAATAACTCATTTCTAATAATTGATTTATTTTTTCTGTGCCATGATGACTGTAAATAATACTTGACAAGATATTTTTCAAGACACTTCTATACAGCTTAAAGTGACATTAAAGGCTTAACTAGGTTAATTAGGGTAATTAGTCAAGTTATTGCATAAAGATGGTTTGTTCTGTTGACAATTGAAAAACAATATTGTTTAAAGGTGCAGTATGTAAGTTTGACACCCAGGGGTTGAACTAGGTATTGCATTCCTGGATTAAAATAAACACAAGTGCAGGTTGCCAGATGACCCAGAGGACCAAGCCTGACTATCAAGCCTAAAGACTGATTTAAATCGTGTTGTAATTAAAAGCAACAGCACGCAATAGAAAGAATATTTTCCATATTAAATGAAGTTTTTGCTCTAACCAACACCTCGAATTGATATATTAGAAACGGCTTCTATTTCTTGTCGCTGAACAACAGAATTAGAGCTGAAGATCTTTGCCTGGACCTGGCGGGACCTGACGGGTTCGGGTTTAATTTCTATCATTTTATACGGGGTCGGGTCAGACCGGGCTTGGCTTGCGCAGTAAATGAACAGTCATGTGATGCATTTCGATTAGCGCGAGAAAGAAATTAAATCGTTTGTTACAACATTGAATTCCCTCCTTGCAAAGGTGAAACAAAAGATGACGGAGAAGTCAAAAAAAGCACATTTTGACTGCGGTCAGGCCAGCCACCAGTTCAGAAAGAACCTGTCATTCTAGCGGCGTATTTCTGCGGTTACTCATACACTGCGTATTATGGTAGATCACTTAACAGCACAGCAAGCTGACAGGGAAGATGATGAGGCCACTCACTAAATTGAAACTGCTGTCATGGAAAATTAAATCGATGTTCTTGGTTGGTAAAAATGATAAAAAATTCCTACCCAAAAGTTGCAAAATTAGCTAGATCAGTACTGTGCATCTCGGGTTGTAGCAGCAGCAGTGAAAGGGTGTTCGGTGCTGCTGGACACACCATCCTGAGCGCAGGACTGTGCTAAAGCCATTAGCCCCTTTCACACAGTGATACCGGTAAATATCTGGAAAATTTCCGGAACGACTTTACCGGTATATTCAAAATAGCGCTGTTCACACAGGCGAGGACGTTACGGAAATTTTCCGGAAAAGAGCCTTTACACATCCATTCCAAAATACCGGTAAATTCTGACATCATTCACCAAAAATTAGCTTTAAACGTCTGTGCTTGTATTTGTAAACATTTGACTAAATTACAAACTCTGTGGATGATTAATATTGTGAACAACTTTCGCAGGATCACTTTCGCATGTCGAGATGTTCATAATATGTGCGTGTGCTGGCGCTCACAGGCTGTTTCACAGGCACATGCAAAGCTTGAAGGTAAACAAACAACGGCTTATCATAAGCTTCTCATCGATGATTATTTACACAGTTGGCATTAAGAAGAACATATAAACGTGATCTGACTAACTTCTAGCAGCTAAATGCGTCTGGAAAAATATTCAAAGGCTTTTATTCTCACAAACCGCGCGGACATAAATGCGTCTGACTGTTGTGATTGGCTAAAGCAGACGTCTCACGTCAGCACGTTCTAGACGTGCACGCGCTTATTACGGCAATCTTCCTTCTGCATTCACACAGCGCAGCATTCCGGCAAATTGCCGGTAATGTTACAACTTCTCTTTCCGCAAAATAGCCAGAATAAATTTACCGGTATTTTCAAAAAGGACCTGTTCACACATACAACCTTTCCGGAAAATTGCCGGCAATTTTCCGGAATGGTCTGTATGTGTGAAAGGGGCTATTTACAGTGGATTCAATAATGTTCCTCCACAAAAATAACATGTAGCCTAGTCCTGGTGAGTAAAGGGTTTTTAAAATATAAATAAATATTGATTAAGCTATGAAATCATATTGTAGACAGAGTATATAGGCTAATGTTGGCATCAGGCTATTCTTTTAATATTCCGTCGCCTCAATGCCAGATTGTTATGAAAAGTGGCGAAACAAATCTCGCAGAGCCTTTATCTTAATTGCCAAATTTAGAATTAATTTTAATTTAATTTGTTAGGAAAGACTTATTTTTTTATTGGTGTGTTGGCCAATTTAAAGGCTAACTTTATGTACCTAGAGTGCTGAGATGTTACGATGTTACAGAGGACTTATTTTATTTCTTTGTTCCAACTTCCAAGTGGCATATATTCTACGTTTGTTACGAATAAATTATGTTAAAACATAGAAATGACTCATTCTTGAAAAAAGGCAAAAGAGCTGTGTGCCTGTGCACATTTGAATAATGTCGGGCTGTAAACGGGTTCGGGTTTTATAAAGCTGTCAATCAAAATGTACCTGTCAGGCTTGGGCTCTGTCGAGCCTAGTTTTTATGGCCCGATTACAGCTCTAAACAGAATACTGACAATGATCACCTCTGGTGCACCTTATGTGCTTTATTCAGTGTTAAATGCTAATAATGTGAGTTTGAATGCCGTTTCACATGACATTTATTGCCGTACTACTGAGAGCAGCAGATAGTTCAGCTCAGATTTTGAAAATTAAACTGTTTGAAATTGAACTTCAGAACCGTGACTCAAAACCAACACATATCAGTGATTCAGCATGTACATTTAATAAAGTTAAAGAGGTTTAATATGTATTAATCAGAATATAAATCTTACCATTTCGTGAGTGAGTGCATATTCTGTGCTTCTGAATGGCTGTATTTAAATTTCTGTCGTGTTTCGTCTGGCGCAAACAGCCAAATCGCTTATCACTGCAAATCTCATCACGTAGCGTGTTGTTAGGACATGAGGTTACAATGTAACCTGCTCACCTAATGTTTATGCACCTAATGTTTACGTGGAACTCTGAATCTGCGTCTCATTTCAGAGTCTGCTACTGCACCGGAGGTCGCATTTCAGTCATGGATGCATGCTTTGAGAGTCTTTCTAAATGACAGAATGAATGAAATGCGCTGTTTTCCAGCAAGGTAGCCCGGAGGGCTGAAATATAATTGGCTAAAGTGACGGGCGGGTTAAAAGAAGCAAAACAAAGACAGCAGTTCCGGCATGTAAAAGACATTTCTAATCCAGAATATCTGACTTTTTCAGATAAACAAGAATGTTCACTTAGCATGTTTCTTTAATATCTGCAAACCTATTATGATATTTTTATGCTTTAGAAGAGTCAAAAACTTACATAAAACACCTTTAAGGGGGTTAATAATATTGACTTTAAAATGGCTTAAAGATATTAAAAACTTCTTTATTCTAGCCGAAATAAAACAAATAAGACTTTCACCTGAAGGAAAAATATTACTGGAAATACTGTGGAAAATTCCTCGCTCTGTTAAACAAATTTTGGCAAATATTTGAAAAAGAAAACAAAAATCACAGGAGGGCTAATAATTTTTAATTTTGTTATATTAAATCAAATGCTGGCTCTTTACTTACCTGCTGTTCTCATTTTAACTCAATGAACTTTTTTTTTCTTTAAGTCGGTGCTCAGTTCCCATTCAACGAGGAGCGCATCAGTCGAGATGGAGTCAACAGAGACTCTGCAATAATCGGAGGTGAAATATGCCTTTTCTACACACTTTGTCACTGATAAAAGTGAGCGGGGGGGATTGTGGGGAGGCGGGGTCTTTGTTCGGTTCGCAGATAAAAGTGAAGAGGGGTAGTTCACGGACTAAAGTTAAAAGAGGGAGGGTGATGTAAGGAGGTTGTGAGACCCCTATTAGTAAACCTGAGAGCCCCAAAATGGTGTGGGTCCTTAAAATCGTCCTAACTTTCTCCACCCTAGCGGCGCCTCTGCATACTAGAAACATATTGATATGCTAGACATGCTGACAATATGCTAATTGATGCTAGAGTCATACTATAAACATGCTAATTCATGATAGACGTGCTAAAATTATGCTACCTCATGCTGTATTCATACTAGAAACATATCATGATAGACATGCTAAAATATGTTAATTTATGATAGAATCATACTACAAACATGGTAAATCGTTTTAGACATGCTAAAATATGCTAATTCATGATAAAAGCATACTAAAATGTGACAATTCACGCAATATGCTAATTCATGCTAGAATCATACTAGAAACAGTAATTCATACTAAACATGCTAAAATATGTTAATTCATGATCATGAACATGCTAAATCGTTTTAGACATGCTAAAAAATGTTAATTCATGCTAGGATCATACTAGAAACATGCTAATTCAAACTAGACATGCTTAAAATATGCTAATTCATAATAGAACCATACTACTAACTGGCTAATTCATACTAAACATGCTAAAATATGCCAATTCACGATAGAATTATACTAGAAACATGATAATTCATGCTAGAATCATACTAGAAACATGCAAATTCATGCTAGACATGCTAAACATATGCTAACTCATGCTAGAATCATACTAGAAACATGCTAATTCATGCTAGACATGCTAAACATATGCTAACTCATGCTAGAATCATACTAGATACATGCTAATTCATGCTAGAATCATAGTGGATACATGCTAATTCATGCTAGAATCATACTAGAAGCAAGCTAATTCATGCTAGACATGCTAAACAAATGCTATTTCATGCTAGAAACATGCTAATTCATGCTAAAATCATATTTAAATAAAAATAAATTAATCAAAGAATAATTCTACAGTAATTTGACTTGTCATTGAATCAATGCAATGCAATGGTCATTTAATATTTCATATATACCTTACTCTAGCACCTACTGTAATTCTCAGAGCGCTAACAATTCCTTGGCATAATTAGCATGTCTTGTATGCATTGCCTCTTCTTGCTGAATCGCTGGATGTCTACTCAATTGTACGTCGCTTTAGACAAAAGCTTCTGTCAAAAATGACTAAATGTATATGTAATATCGTTGACGCAGGCATCATCGCAGTGGTGATCTTCACCATCCTCTGCACGCTGGTGTTTCTGGTGCGTCACATGTTCCGTCACAAGGGCTCCTACCACACCAATGAGGCCAAAGGGGCGGAGTCTGCAGACTGCGCCGATGCTGCCATCATCGTCAATGATCCCGCCTTCACAGAGACCATCGACGAGAGCAAGAAGGAGTGGTTCATTTAGCCACACCCCCTAGGGGCGGGGCTTCACTCTCTGACAGCAGCCCATGTGAAACGGACACTTGGCGACGTCTGGCATGTCTGTTCTGTAATTATTTTGTAAGTGAGTACAGCACAAGGACTTCTGTAAGATCCCATTCATCCCATGCACACATGATGACAGTTTTAAACAACAACTGATGCATTTTTATCATTGCAATATTTCTGGTCGGATTAAAAAAAAAAGATGTGTGTTCGGCGATCACGAATGCAGCGAATACTCCAATAGCACAAAGCGGAATGTGTACAGAATGCATACTTATGTTTTCCGATAATGACGTTTGATTGTATTTAAGCGTTTCGTTGTCAGCATCTTCAGGACAATAATAATATATTGTAGCATGGAAATCAGCCAATGGCGTTTCTGAATCACCCATCGATGTTCAATGCAGCACTTTTGTATCTCAAGTTCTTTATAGTTGCCAGAATTCAGTGTTATTTATCTGTTTCTCCATAAGTGCTTGTTCAATCTCTACGGATAACATGATAACATGATGCAGACGGACAGTTTAGGGGGGGGGGGGTTGTGAGGTGAATGTTCTTGAAGTGCCCCTATTATGCTGTTAGGGTTTATAGTTTTCTTATTTCGTCAATCCGAGGTTAAAAAAAACACATTTTTCATTACCAACACATTTTGTAGTGTCTGAAAGGGTTGGTTCAAGGATCCAGTCTCTCTAAACCTCGCCTTTCTCAGAGCCTGCTCTGCTCTAATTGGTCATATGACAGGTTCAGTTTGTTGTGATTGGTTGATCACTTACATTGCGAGTCCAAAACCAAATGCTGTGAATTTGAGCTCCTCCTCTTCACTTGTAAACACAGTGTTATAAACAATGTGATTAGTTTTAACATCCTCTTCTGTGCATGAGTTCTCCTTTTTTAAGCACAACCAAGTAGATTTGCTCTCACAGTGCAGAAAACAACATCTTTTTGATATTAAAACCTAAACTTTTATAGGTTGCAGCTATAGATACAGTGTTTGAGACTTAAAGATAACAAAACAATCTAAAATTAAACGCTTATCCTATAATATGCACTGCTCCAGCTCTTTTTTAGTGTCTGTAATGGTTGGTTCAGGGATCCGGTCTCTCTAAACCCTGCCTTTTTTGAGAGCCTGCTTTGCTCTGATTGGTCAGATGACTGGTCCAGTCTGTTGTGATTGGTTGATAACTTACATTGCATGTCTGAAACCTTATTCAGATTACCACTTGAGCTTTTCTTTGTCACTTGTAAGCACAGTGATATAAACAATGGCGGTAGTTTTACCATTCTAATTTGAGCATGAGTTCTCCTCCTTTTTTAAGTGCAGAAAACAATGTCTTTTTTTTATAAAAACCCAAACTCTTATATGGTGCAGCTATAGAAACAGTGTTTGAGACGTAAGGATGACAATAAAACAAAAATTAAATGTTTTTTTTCCATAATATGCACTGCTCCAGCTATTTTTTTGTCTGAAATGGTTGGTTCTAGGATCCGGTCTCTCTAAACCCCACCTTTCTGAGAGCTGCTCTGCTCTGATAGGTCAGATGACTGGTCTGGTCTGTTGTAATTGGTTGGTAACTTGCATTGCATGTCTGAAACCATATTCAGATTACCATATATCTGAATTTGAGCTATTCTTTGTCACTTGTAAGCACAGTGATATAAACAATGACGGTAGTTTTACCATCCTAGTTTGAGCATGAGTTCTCCTCCTGTTTTATGTGCAACACACAAAAAAAAACAACATCTTTTTGACATAAAAACCTCCTATTGGTTGCAGTTATAGTTACAGTGTTTGAGACTTAAAGATGACAATAAACTCAAATTAAATGCAGAGCTCCAGCGTATGAAATGGTTGGTTCAAAGATCTGGCCTCTCTAAACCCCGCCTTTTTGAGAGCCAGCTTTGCTCTGATTGGTCTGATGAATGCTCCAGTTTGTTGTGATTGGTGGAAAGAGTAGATTTGCCCTCCCAGTGCAGAAAATAACATATTTTTGGGTCAAGAACTTAACTTGTTTAGGTCTCAGCTACAGTTACAGTGTTTAGGAGTTAAATAGGACAAAACATATACTTTTTACCAATAATATGTACAACACCACCTCTTTTCTTAGTGTCTGAAATAGTTAGTTCAAAGATCCGGTGTCTCTAAAAACTGCATTTTTGAGAGCCTGCTTTGCTCTGATTGGTCAAGACTGCTCAAGTCTGTTTTGATTGGTGGAGAAAGTAGATTTGGGCTCAATCCCTATTCTACCCCTTAGCCCTTCCCCTTACCCCTACCCCTCGTTTTGCGCGTTCACATCAAGGGTTAGGGGTGTCCCAATTCTTTTTAGCTCGAAGGCGAAGGGGAAAGGGGTGAATAGCCCTTCGAACAAAGATTTTCAGAACCACGCTTGAAACCAAGGGGTAAGAAAATTTCCCGGAATACACCAGCCACAACGGCAGACAGTTACACCCGGAAGTAAGGATATCCACAAATTTGTATTTTTACTACAAACAAACACATGTTTTAATATTTATAACTGTGTATGTGTTGTACTGTCATGCTTAAAAAAAATAAAAACTGCTAAATTTCGCAATCTATAATCCATAACAATAACTCCTGTATAGCAGTCCCACAACATTCTGACACTCGATGACACTGGAATACCCTGTCAGTAATGTCTAGTGGCTGTGAATGAGCTTTTTACAGTGTCTGCTATAATGGTAAGGCTGTTTTTGGTTTATTTACATAGATGAATATGGCCACTGTGTTAAATGCACAGTATTACGATCTTATTGTCACATTAGATGGTTATGATAACATAATATATGCTTTTAGTGATTTCTTGAAGATAAATACCAAAAAATAACACATCTGGAATAACTACAGCAGTCGCGATCGTCTGATCTCATATGAAGCAAGAGATCACGGTGACATATGATAACGTGTGCAGGTGCTTTAGTGGTGTCCCAATTTTTAAGGGTAATTTTTGAAGCCCTTCCCCTTCACACTCGGTTTTAAGGGCCAAGGGGCAAGAAGGAGTAGGGGTACAAAAATAGAATTGGGCCTTGCTCTCACATTGCAGAAAAAAACATCCTTTTGAGCCCCAAAACCAACTCTTCCAGGTTTCAGTTACAGTGTTTAAGAGTAAATAAAACTAAAAAAAATACTCTTTTCCAATTATTATGCACAGCTCTTTTCTTAGGCTAAGTCTTATGTGAAACATTGTCGCAGATGAAAGTGAAAAGGGGAGGGGGCTGGGTGGTGTCATGAACGAAAGTGAAGAACAGCGGGGGAGGGGTGATGTGGTGGACAAAACTGAAGACTGGGGTTTGGGGGGGGGGGGGGGGGTTGTTGGGCTCCCTTAATAGTAACTTTGGGGGCCCCAAAAGTAGGTGAGCCCTTAGAATCATCCTAACTCCCCCTCTAGCGACACCCCTGGCTACGTCTACTCTAGTCTGGATAAATTTGAAATGCTAAAACTTTCCATGTCCACGCTATCATTTTAATTCTTTCGATCATCCATTTTTAAACAAATAAAAATGCTTTCATTCATGAACTGCCCATGTGAATAGTCATAACACGCTTTCACCTGCTATTATATCTGCCAGCTGTTTATTTACTTTCCATCTCTTTGAAACACCTCGTCAAACTGTCCACCACTGAACAACAGCTCCGAGTAAACATTTGAACAGAGGCAATATGGAGCATGTACTGTACAAACTGACATTATTCTTTAATAAAGCTGTCAAAACGGACAGCATCCAAAACATCTGCTTTATAATGTCATCCACCATGTTAGCCGAATTGATCACATGACTTCATCACATCACTGTCATCATTTTCAAATGCCTCCATTTTCACAGTTCACGCCACAACACAATGTCCGCATTTTTAAAAATATACATTTTCATTTCTTGGCCAAAACAAAGAGAAAAATGGACATGACCTTAGTGCCTGAAATGGTTGCTTCAATGATCCTGTCTATCTAAAAATCGCCTTTTTGAGAATTCTTCTGCTGTTATGGGTGGAACAAGTGGATTTGCTTTCACAGTGCAGAAAACAGCATGTTTTTTTATCCAAACTCAACACTTCCAGTGTATTTTAGCATGTGCAGCAATGTTTCAGAGTTAAATAAGACAATATAACAGGCAGCCAATGAAGACAACGGACTGGCATTATGCAAATTTGCCATAAACTTGTGTAGGAATTACTGAAGATTCCTTTCATGTTGTCTACAAAACAAAGAAGTGATTGTGAATTACAAGTTCGTTTATATTTGAAAAGTTGCTGACCTTTTACATTTATAAGCAGCCCTACATTACACACTACGTGAGCACAATAGGGGCATTTTTAAAACAAGGAAGCTCCGGATGGTTCAGTAGTAAATGATCACGACTGGTTCATTTGCTCCGATGTCTTTTAATGTGCCTCGAAGGCTTCTTCTGGCCAAGCATGGATTTTGTGATAGGTTTGAAGACCATAATTAAGGAGAAGTTGTGTTAGTTTAAAATCAGCCGCAGCAGCACAAATTTATGTACAAACCATTTCGAATAGTCTCCTCATTGTGCTTGGTTTTTTTTATTTCTTAACTATGTCTGAATTACGTAAAGAAGCATTTCTGTCATTTTTGGGGGTGTTTATTAATATGGTCTTTTAAGCGTCTTTGCTCACATGAATCCACTAACAAGAGTGTTATTCAGCCATCAGATAGATTACTAAAGTTGGTTTATGATAAAGCACAGTAATGCTGCTTTGCTTATATTTGGGGTTGTTTTAAAATTGTGCATAACCTGTTGTTAGGTCTTTTAAAATGAATTAAATTGCATATTTATTAAGGTTTTGTCACATCAGAATTGCTTTATGTGGCTTTTTATTTATAATGTAATCAGTCGATTGTTTCTTGTTCCTTTTTTTTTTTTAAATGCTCATGTTGTTTATGATGCAATGTTATTTCTTGTTGAGGGTTGTGAAGAAAATGACCCTCCATTAATGAACGTTGCAGATCTCAATAAACTACTGGATTGTTTTTGTAACAAAAAAAAGGTGTGATTCATGAGAAAACTTTACTTACTGAATTACTTTACTGTAATCTTACTGTACTGTACTTTACTTACCGATTACCTACTGTAATCCTCTCTTTATTACTTGTATTTTTTTTTTTCGAAATGATTACATACACTCACCTGCCACTTTATTAGGTACACCTTACTAGTACCGGGTTGGAAACACTTTTGCCTTTGGAACTGCCTTAATACTTCGTGGTATAGATTCAACAAGGTGCTGAAAATATTCCTCTGAGATTTTGGTCCATATTGACATGATAGCATCCCGCAGTTGCTCTGTGCCAAGAAAATATCCCCCACATTATTACACCATCACCACCACCACTAGCCTGAAACATTGATACAAGGCAGGATGGATCCATGCTTTCGTGTTGTGGACGCCAAATTCTGACTCAGACCAGGCAATGTTTTTACAATCTTCTATTGTCCAATTTTTGGTGAGCCTGTGCAAATTGTATCCTC